TTTTGTACTTTTCTCTCCTCCGTACATTGGCAGAGGCTCACAGCTCAAAACCACGCTGATGAACTAGTTGCCGTGGTTACTGAGGATGCTGTACTGCCAGCCTGTTTCGCACTCCCCAGTCTGGACCGCTGAGATGAGATGATGCCTCTGCTCCCTGGGCTGGCCCCCCAGAGGGGCTCACTTCCTTCACAGCCTGTCATTGATGCTGGGCCTGTGTAATGAGCATGTAAGCAGCCATGACGCTACAGGCTGACAGGCTAAGCTGTCAAACCCAGTTGACAGTGTTATTGATAGATAAGACCAAAAGTAAAACCAAAGAGCGAAAAGTCATTCCCGCATGCAGTAGATAGTAGTTAGGTCATTGACCATATGTTAATCTTAAGACCGTGTGCTAATCACATACCTGAGTGATAAGAAGATGTAAGAGTTTAAAAGGAGCGAACCCAAGACCCAGTCGTCGTCGTCCACCGCGACCCGACCTGACCGTCACACGTCGCCACTCCTCGCGACTTGACCGATTGACGCCGAAGGCTCTGCTGGAACGAAGACCGATCACACGTCGCAGCTCGAACCTCTGCTCTACAGCCCAGCACTCGAAGCCACGGACCCAGGTCGTATAGTCCTGATATATCTTAACATCATACTTGCCTTAATGTTAAAGATATGGACTAGAATACTCTGTTTGTGGTTACTGTGGTATCCGCTCTGATATAGCTTTGCTTGTGTGATAATAATCCTCCTTAAAAGACATTATCACTTGCAGTCTTTATTACCTCGGAGCCGGGGAGCCATTTAGAGCTCCCAGCTTGGGATCCGATTCCTAAATCGATGCTTGCGACAGCCTGGCCACTGCAGAAGCACCTCCCATACTCAGGTGGAAAGTCTCCTTTGAACCAGGAGGGACCTCTGGGACAGAATCCAGAGGCCAGATGACTAGCTCAGAGAATAAGATTCCTCTAAGTGAAATACTTTCAGCTTTTGAGTAACTCCTTCACCCTCTCCATCGATGCCTGGAACTGCCTCAGCCCTCCTTTTCCTCCTTCTTCCTTCCCTCAGAAGCGCTCTCTGTATCTGGTGGTCCATGCCATCTTCTCGGGCCTCCACTCCAGCATCATTAATGGGAAGCCCCAATTAATGGCTGTGCCCTTAACCTTGCTACACCAGCACCCCAGTGCTGGGCTCCTGCTGCCCCTCACCTTCCAGATCAGCAGCTGAGGCCCTGGGGACTGGCCAGCTGGGCAGGTAGCAGGGTGGTGTCAGCAATGCTGCCATTCCTAGTGCTAGGCATCATATCTATAATCCTCCCCAGCCCCTACCTGGCTTGACTTTTTCCTCCTCTTTCTGTTTTTCCTCTTTGATTTCCACCTTGATACAAAGGTTGTGGTAGCCCAAGAACAAATTGCATCTTGACCTGGGTGTCAAAACTTACTGAAATACATGCCTTTGACTGTTCAATCATGTCTCCAGCAGCTAAAAACATAACCCCTTCCCGGAGTTGTTTCTGTACCATCCCTTTCCATCCTTCCAGTGTCTTCCCCATACAACTACATGACTTTGAGCTGGTACAAAGGAGGAAGCCTTGAGCCACTCACTTCTTGGAGAGATTATTATCATCAACTTTGTTTTTTGAGAAGGAACCTGAGTCACAGAGAAGTTAGCTAATTTTCCCAAGGCCACACAGTCAGGAAACAGTGTGGTTCGGGGCCATGGCCATAGTGCTGGGCTACACCTCCCAGCTTCCTCCCTGATGCCTGTCCTCCCTTGTCCCCTCACTCCAGCTCACTCAGACACCTGGCCCAGATAGTCCCATCTTCCTACCCAGTGACCCAGCTGAGGACTGGCTCCTGGCCAAGACTTGGGCGGGACACTCAGAGTTCCTGGTACACGAGATGGTCACTCATCTGCTTCATGCCCACTTTGTGGCAGAGACCTTTGCTCTGTCCCTGCTGTGGTAGCTGCTCATGTGCCACCCCATCTTCAAGGTAGGGAAGAGGCTTCATCTCTGTGCCTGGAGCTGTGGGAGACCTGGGGCCTCCTCTCCTAACTCCTGGCTCTGGCTCTCCCTAGCTGCTCATTCATTTCTGCTACACCTTCCACATCACCAGTCAAGCTGACACTGGTCTCTTTGCACCAGGAAAGCTCATGGATCAGCTCAGGGGTCCCCATGTTTATCAGAGGGGCACGAGGGGGCTGAGGATTGGTCCAGATCACACCCCCCCAGCCTACAGCAGTGGGCTCTCTGTACATTACAGTCCATGTCATCTGGGTGGGAAGGCTCCCTGGAACTGATGGCCAGAGGGCTGGCAGCTGTCACCTACCATTCTCTGTGCCTACCCCCCCCAGCTGACTGACCTTGACATCCTGGGCCACCCCAAGTACTACTACTGAGAAGATGAGCTCAGGATCTGGGCAGCCATCGGGAAGTGAAGCTCCCCTGGCACCTAAGGGCTCCAAGCCTCTCACTATCTGCCACACCTCGGAGATTTGTCCAACTTCCCCCATCTCTTGCCCAAACACCTGCTGTCTCTCAGTGCCTTTCTGCTTTATTTTCCTCTTCCCAGCTGTGTGGCCTTGGGGCAAATCTCTTAACCTCTCCTTGCCTATCTCTTCATCTGACCCTGGGGATAAGAGCACCTGCCTCAGACTGCTATTGGAATCAAATGTCACAGCCTAAGAACAAATCTCAGCAAACAAGAAGTGCTCTCCTAGCACTAGCTGTTCGCCCCCTAGATACTCACTGAGTTTCCAGTTTTTTGTTTTTTTGTTTTGGTTTGGTTTTTTTTCTTTCTAAATCTTCCTCATGAGACCTCCTTGGGATATACCTCTCACCTCCACTCTGGGGCTCAGGTCTTCCTGATGCCTGGCCATGTGAGTGCCACAACTTCTCCCTAGTGTTTGTGACAGTGCTGCTGCTGCCCAGGACTCCATTTCTTGCCACACGGAATGACACCTTTGCTGCAGCATCTTAAGCCCCCTCAGAAAACACCTTCCCTTTCCATTCTTTCTGTTTGTTTTGTTTCTTTTTCTCATAATTTTATTTTATTTTTATTTTCTAAAGTTAATTTCATTGGTCCATTCTTTCTTCTGAGCACATACTGGGTTAGAGAGACAAGGCATCCAACTTCTCCCTCTCCCTATCCAAACACTTCCTGCTTCAAGTTTAGCTCAGGCCCCACCTGTCCCTTGAAGTCCCCCCACCATTACCCCTGTAAGGTACACCTAGCAGCAGCTGCCTGCCTATGCCCACCCTTCCTCACAGGGGCTCTGCACGTTCTTCTTAAGCCCTTCCCTGGCTGGAGATGGATGGAACCAGTGGAGGAATTTTACCCAACTTGACAGTTCCGACATGACTGGCCTGGTGTCTAATCCTTCCTGTGGCTTGATTTGGCTCCCATTGTGGGAACTTCAGTGTCCACAGGACCAGAAGCAGGAAGACGGTAGGCAAGAAGGAAAGACAGGTAGGCAGGGAGTCTGGCAAGTGGTGAACTCCTATTTGATGGAGACAATGGGGATCCAGCCTTGACTGTTGCCCGATCTTCATATTTTTCAAGAGAAGCCAGACATCTAATATTTAATTGCTGGCATGTAGCTGGGTGTGCTGGTGCATGCCTATAATTACAGCACTTAGGAGGCTGAGGTGAGACCCTGTCTAAATAAATAAGTAAATGCTGGCAAGTGTTTCAACTTCATAGATAAACACTTGTCAACAAATCAAGAAACATCTGCAGACCAACTTTGGCCCTCAGACTGGGTAAAGATTACAGCTTCCAGGTTTGAAACTCAGCCTTGTAGTTCACACTGTGTGCTTGGCCATTTTCCTTCCTTGGCCTGAGTTTCTTCTTTTTTCGGCAGCTGGTCTCATTGGCCCCTTCCAACCTGTTACCCCTGAGCAGCATTCAGTTACTGGAATACCTTATCTGTATTCCTAAATCCCCAGCTTTGTAACAGATATTGTTGACTTCTACCACTCTGACGACAGGGCAATGAGTAGGGACTTGGAGACCCAGGCCTGGGTCAAGGAAATCTTTCACGAAGTTGTGTGAGCTCAGGTGAGGTGTCCATCCTGGTCTTCCACCTACCAGACCCCACTTCCCCAGGGAAGCAGCCCCTTGGGTCTCAGCTCAGCTCCCTTCACCACACTCCTTTCTAGGGGTCCCCTCTTCTCTGGACAGCTGTGCTGGCCTCACCCAGTATCTCACCATGATCATCTTCACCTGCTCAGCCCAACATGCTGCTGTCAACAGTGGCCAGGTAAGCAAGTAGCAGGCCTGGAGGGACAAACAGGATAATAGGAGGAGAGGGCCTAGCAGGAGCTCTGTGGTAACTGAATTTGGTGGGGTCAGTATGAATTGGGCTCCTGAATACCCAATATTCCTACCACCATTCAGCTCCCTCCACCTACTGCCAAAGGCTAAACAGACCCGGTGGCTTCACTCCCTGATACCAATGCTACCCATCATGTCCTCGTGCTCTTCTGGAGAGTCAGCAATGAAACCAAGGACACTGTAAGCCAGAATCATGATGAGGATGGAAGGGGTCTCAGTATCCAGAGAAGTGGGGAGGAGTGGAAGAGGGGATGCACTCAGTGGGCTGGCCCCTAGGTGGGCAAGGTTGGGAGTGGTTTAGGGTGGTGTGGATTCCTAGCAGGTGAACCTTAGAGTGGTCTGGGTTTCAAAGTGCTCATGGCTTGAGGTGGCTTAGGTTTTTTGTAGGCAGGCGGTCTTTTGCCTAGACAGATGGGTGGTTTATGTTTCAAATGGAAGGGGTCTTGGGTAATCTGACTCTCCTAGGTGGACAGGAATTGGGTGGACTAAGTCTCAAGGTAAGGAGGTCTTCGGATAGACCAGAATCATTGTGGGTTAAAATATGGGGCCGAGGTGCCAGGTTAACATCCTTCTCACCCACCCAAGAGCACTTCACAGAGGAGGCCCTGCACAGAGGAGGATCTCTGTGTTCCAGAGTGGCCTGGCCCAGATCTCCAGGAGCATCCAGGAACGGTCCCTGGCGCTGCCCTACACCTACCTAGACCCCGCTGCGATGGGAAACAGCATCACAGTGTAAGCCTCCAGCCTGAACCTGGAGCACCAGAGTACACACACACACGCACACGCACACACACACACACACACACACACAAAGTAAAATGCCCTATTCACTCATAGACCCAGGGCGACTATTTAAAGTGATTTTTTTTTTTTAAAGAGGGCACAGGTGAGAGGTGAGGCGAGGGAGCTGTCCTAGATGGAAATGCTGTTCTCGATCAGTACCGGGTCCAGGTAGTTATAAGGAATGGGGAGGCACTTGTTGCGCCGGCGGATGTCGTGAGAGATCTGGTTCAGCCGGTGGCGGAAGGCCTCCATGCTCCTGCGCGGCGCATCCTCCACAAAATGGATGTCGGGGAAGTGGCCGAGGGGCCGCTGTAAATACCAAACAGGGCTCTGGTTCGAAGCCGGACCCACGCCCACCTTCCAGGAGCCTCTTTTCAGCAGCCTTCCACACCCTGCCATCGACACCCCTGCTATCCTTGCCCTCCCCCGCCTCCCAGCCCCCTGCCTATGCTCAGTGTCCCCCACCCCGACCCCACACCTTGTCGTCGGGCTCTCGGCTGAGCGTCCAGAGCACCAAGAGCACGATGCACGTGGTCTTCACGTCAGGCAGTGTATCCATGAAGGTCTGCTGAGTGCTGAGCCCCTTGGCCTCCATCGGCGGTCTCCGCATGGAAGGGGGGAAGTTGGGCATCCAGGAGGTGTACTCCAGCTGGGGGAGTGGGGAGAGGTGGGGCCCTGATCAGAGAGCACCCCGGAGTTCTGGTCCACTGGGCTCTGGACCACTGCCTGCCGTGGTCGACTTGGACTCTTGTCCCAGCAGGCTGAGCCTGCGATGGGGTGGTTTAGACTGGTGGCACTGGTCTGCAGGGGGCGGGGGAGTCTGAGTTGAAAGGTTGGGTCCAGGGTTTCAACTGAGACTGGTCCAAGTGGAGACTCAGCTCAAGACTGGTTGAGGAGGGGCTCAGGTTGGTGGATAAGATCGGCTTTGAGATGGGGCAAAATTTAGGGAGGCTGGGTACCTGGCCTGAGTTGACACCTGCGTGCCTGGCAGAGCAGGTGTACATGATGGTGGTGACATATCGGATCAGCTCAGGCACTGTTCGCAAGCACGTGGGGAAGCCTGAAGGGCAGAAACCAACCAGACAGTATCAGTCCTGCCCCAGTCCTGGCTGCCTGGCAGAGGGCACCTCCAAGTGGGGCTCACCTAGCCTTGACAACACTCTAAGCAGTGTCCTCCATATGCCCATCCTGCCCACCCTACCCTCCAGTGCTATTATAACCCCATCTCTCCCAGTCCAGACCACAGGGTGGGGAGGGGCTGGTCCTGGCTAGATGTCCTCACAGGCTGCTTTTGGCACCTGCCTGAGGTGAGGTCTGCAGATGTCTCTGCCATCTCTGGTCCTAGGCCTGGGGTGAGGTGGGGAGGCTCCCTTCTTTTTGGAAGAGTACGGCTTTCCTGCCCTGGCTAGCACACCATGCCCTACTTTGAGACTGCACTCTGGGTTTCTCAGTAGCATGGCCCTGACCCTCACACCTCTTCCAGACCTTTTCCAAATTTCCTGTCATCCCAGGGTGGGGGTGACCAGCGTGGGTTGCCATGGTGACCACGGATAACAAAAGCTCCACACATTCAAACTAGGCTCATATTATCCTCCTCCAACTAGGCTCATATTATCCAAACTCCTCCTCCTTTCTGGGTCCCCACCTCAAGGGAGAATACATACCATCCACCCAGTGGCAAAGTCCCAATCCTGGGAGTCACCCTTGGCCCTACTCTTCCCATACCCACCACTGTGAACCACCAAGTTCTGTCATTTCTAGATTTCAAGTAGCTCTGGAATTCGCTTCATCCCACAGCACTCATCCTAGTCAGGTTCCTGTGACCTCCCGCGTGGACTTCCCAAACTGTCCCCTGACCACCAGTGCGGCCTCACTAAGTCTGATCTCCTTGCAAACCCCTCGATAACCCCTGTTCTGTCATGGCTTCAGCCTCAGCCCACTAGGAGCCTGCCTATGCCCACCCTGTAGCTTCAGCTTCAGGGAACTGGACTCTAATTAGCAGAATCCACTACGTGGTCTCTGGCCTTTGGGCCTTTCCACATGCAACTCTGGATCACAGTCTCATCTCTGCCCACCCATGCTCTGTCAGCTCACTGCTGACTGCTCATCCTGCAGATCTTAGCTAGATGTTAGGTGACCTTAGGTTGCTGTTCCCACTCCCACTGTGTCTCCACCCCAACTGGCTAGGTGTCTTCCTTGGACTCTTCCAGCCCTCTCTTCAGACTCCCCTAAACCATCCCAGACCCACCTTAACTGAACTGCTTATCACTGAAACATCCCCTAGCCCAGGCCATGAATGCCCTGAGAGTAGACACCTTCACTTGTCTTGTTCTCTTTTGTCCCCTCAATAACCAGCCCAGTACCACAATATAGCTTCTCACTAAATGTTTGCTGGGTGTGTGCTCAAGTGGTGTAACCCCCAACACCTTCTACCCTTCTCCTGGAGTCTGCCCCCACCACTTGCCCCAGCCTCCAGTGTACCCTGTTTTTTCTTATTGGAACTCATACCCCATTTCTCAGTCTGCAAAGATTTGTTTATAGGTTGAGGGACTGGGACCCCTCTAGGCCTCTGCAGAGATGCCCCCACATTGTTGGAGTTCAGACATCCCTGATGTCATGTTTTCTTCCCCAGCCTCACAGAGATGCCGCTGCTCCAGGGGCCAGGGGAGAGCCCTAAGGAGATCCTAGGGCTGTGCTTTGGCTTCCTTCAACCCACAAGATGTTCTCTCCCTAAACCAGGAGGGCCTTGGTGGACTCACTTAGGGACCACCCCTCAGTCCCAGGCCCACACTGAGCTCTCGCACTCATACCTGAGCTCTGCCGCCCTAGCAAACACTCCTTGAATATTTCCTGCACCCAGCACTGCAATTCCGGGTCACCCTCCACAGCTGCGTCACTCGGGTAATAATAGGTGATGATGTCCGTCACATACCTGACCAGGGGACAGGGCCTCAGTTTGGAGCCTCCCCTTCCCCTCCATAACTGTGTTTCTCCCTCCTTCCTCAGGTTGCCTGGCCTTGGCTGACCCCAGAGCTGCCCCAAGCCTGTGGGGAACCAAGCCCTGTGGGGCAGAGGTGAAGAGGGTGGCTTGGGAAGGTCAGAAGTCACTCAGAGGGATTGCTAGTAAGAATCAGGTGATGCCCCAGGCAGCTCAGGACCCAGAAGAGGTCCAGCCAGCAGAGGCGGGCTGGGGGCTAAAGCAAGGAAGAGCCATCAGGCCTAGGGAGCTGGCATGTGAAGGACGGAGAGCCCAGACCCTATTCCCAAGGCCAAGCCGCAGGGTGACACCAGGCTAAATCTCCCATACCCCCACCAACATCCCTGGGTGTCCACTCCATGTGCCACCCTCTACTGTCCCAACCTTACCTCTCCATCGCATCCCATACTGCCAAGCTGTCATCACGGAAATAGTACCCAGGCAGGTCTTGGACCCCCCGCTCCATGAAGTCATTGGGGACACAGAGGCTGTCATAGGTGAGCTCAGACAGAGCCCGCACCATCACCTCAGCAAAGCCCTTCAAGCCCAGGCTCATGGCCTATGAAGGAGGATGCAGAGCCTGGAGCTGGAAGGGCACCCCCAAGGCCTGCTACCCAGAGCTCAGAGACATGGTGAGGGTGCCCCTAGCCCCTAGCCCCTACCCAGCCTCCTAGCCCTGGAAGCTCTCTAGATCCAAGCCAGAACACCCAGCTCCTGTCTTTGTGCCCTGATACACACAGTGCCCACTTTAACCCATCCCCTCCCTCCCAACTACCCCAGGATCCAAAGGCAAGTGTAAAGTCTAACTGCAAAGGCCAGAGAACAGCAGGGGTCCTATTGGGCCTGGGAGTAGAACTCTTACCCTGGCGGAGAGCCCGCCCTCGTTAAGGAGAAGAGCCCGCCCGATGCTGTTGATCTGGACAGTGAATCGGGTGTGAGGGATGAGGAGCTGGATAGGAAAGCAAGAAGGATAACAAACTACTTGTGCAATACCAGTCTGGCTCTAGTGAGTTCCCAGATGCATTCCCAGGCTTACTGACACCCTCTGAGGCATGAGGCTTTGTGGGCCCCTGCCCTAAGCCCATACCTTATACAGCGGGTGGCACATGGGCAGGTGCCTCAGCATGGCCAGGCAGAAGGCTTCTCCAATAAGGTGGGTCTCCAGCAGGTGCGAGATGGCCTCATGGCAGTAGAACTCAGCATAGCGCACCCAGGTCTTGGCCTGCAGCCAGTCCCACTCGCAATCACTGGGCAGGAAGATGGGGCAGTCAGGCCCAGGGGTCTGGCTGAGCTGAGGGTGGGAAAAGAGGGAGGGTTAGTGAGGGCAGAGCCCCCCCCCACATACATACAAGTTCCCACTGCAGGAAGGAGGCAGAAAGAGTTACAAACCATACCCACTACATTTCAGTCTCTCCCTCCCCACATTTGCTCTTGCTGTGCTTTCTTCCTGAACTGCCCTACCCATCCTTGTCTCTACCTGGCAGTTCCTATTCATTCTTTAAGAAGCAGCTCATAAGCTGCCTCTTTTGAGAAGCTTTGCTTACCTCACCTTAAATGTGGCCGCCACATTCAAGTGTACAGGTTGTGCACCAGGCCCTCCCTGGGGCTATCACGGAAGAGCAGCCCACACTCTACCCCAGTGAGCCAGGAGCATAAGGACTTAGGGCACCCTTTTCTAATTTGCACATGACCTTCTGGAGGTCTTTGAGAAGGGAACAGCTCAGTACCCTCTCCTGCCAGCCACCCCAGACTGCCAAGGCAATGGCCAAGTCTGATTGGCTCAGCGATCCCAGCAGAGCCTGCCTATTGCTGAGGTTGTTTCCTCACATAGACAGATGGACAAGGTCAAAGTGAGAAGCTCCATCCAGCAGGCACATACCCCTTTGGTCACCTCTGTGCACAGTCAGAAGTCTATCCACAGGGGCCTCCTGGCAAGGGGACCCACAAGGACCAATTTCATGTGGACATATGGGCAC